TTGTTTGGAACAAAAGTAACGACGGACATTTTAACACTAGAAGTGCCTACACCATGTATCTCCAAACCATCTACGAACCTACTATAAATGAAAATTCCAAAAGCATTTGGATCTGAAAGGCAAATACTATTAACAAGATGAAATTCTTCCTACGGCCTCTCCTCCCACATAAACTGCCAACATCAATTGCTTTATACAATAGAAATATTACAAGTTCAAAAAATTGTCCCTCATGCCCTAACATAGAAGAAAATATTAACCATATATTTATTGACCGTCCAGATGCTAAATATATATGGGAGAAATATAATATCTCTATTAACTCCAAGGATATCCATGCTAGCATTCAACAATTGTGCACTTCAACGTCCTTTGTTAATATAAACAATCACCATTTGGTGCCCACCACTATTCTAACTCCAATAATTCTTTAGAATATTAGGGAAAACAGAAATAGCAAACTTTTTAAAAAATAAATATCAGTAGAGCTCCTAACACAATATATAATATTTCTTTCCAAGCCATTGAATACTACAACATCGCACAAACAACTCCCAAAACACTCCCTACACACATGGTTCCTGTATCTTGGCACAGGCCACCTGAAGGAAAATTTAAACTAAGTATTGATGGTTCCTTTGAACTACAAACCACAAATGGTGGAACTGGAGGAGTCATTAGAGATCAACTAGGCACAGGGATCATGGGTTTTGCTTGCAAAATAAAAGCACGAAATGCCCTTCATGCAGAAGTACTGGCCTTGCTACATGGACTGAATATAGCAAAATATAATATTAAACATTTGCCGGTGAAATCTGATTCTCAGGTATTACTTAACACCTTGAATAGTAATAACCTCATGTACTGACATATCTACACGGATTGCAGGTTACTACTCCTACAGCTGGAAGGATCATCTCTGAAGCTCATTCTGAAGCTCATCCCGAGGGAGGCTAATACAGTAGCAGACTTATTAGCTAAATATGGAAGGACAATGAAGGATCCACATATGAACTGCAACCAGCTTATGTTTTTGTAGCATCTCCTTCTCTGTAACAAATGCTCTCGAAAGAGATGCGAATGGAACTATTTCTCATAGACTAGTTCCACTTTTGTATGGATAAAGCTTCATATTAATTAAATAAAATCCTCCCGTTCTTAAGCCAAAAAACAACAACAGGGAGAGCATATACTTAGGTTGGGTGAAGGACAACAATCATCATCGTTCCTCAAGATTAGACAGATTCCTTTCCACAACACAATGGGATGAAGAGTTTAATTAGATACATCAAGTAGTCCGCACTTTCCAGAATTGCTTGATTGCCTTGGACATAATTCATATTACTCTAATGTGGGCAAGGGGTAATTATAGGTTATACTTCAAATTTGAAAACTGGTGATTACATGTTGAAAGTTTTGAAAAGAAGATAAAAGAATGGTGGTAGTCCTTTATGGTGGCAGGTAGGCCTGATTTTACTCTAATAAAGAAACTGATTTTTTTTAAGCAAAGTTGGTCGAGTGAGAATATCAAGAGGGTGATGCACAAGTTAATTGACAAATACCAGACGACATTCATCACGAGGAGGCTGATCATGGATGCTGGCCCTAATAGCTAACGAGTGCATGGATAACAATGATGCCCCAATCCCAAACAAGTAGGAGTCCACTATATGAATCCTTACTGACCATATTATTCCATTCAGGCTCATCTCATGCCAATATTATGCAAATGCAAATGAAAAGAATTAGTTCTCTATATTTTCCAAATGCATAAATCTCTAGAAAGCATTGGACATATAATAAAAGTGTGAACATATAAAACATATTTTTTTTAACTAAAAGGTATTTATCTGTATAGATCTTTTTCTTCCGTTGTGTTTTATCTTTTGCTAAGTATGCATTTTTTTATAACCAAATCTTGAAGCCTGTATGGAGAATTAAACTCCAGAACTTTTCAAATGGCAATGAACATACATGACCGCTGATCCTAAGAAATTGTAGGTCCTTCGTTTAAATTTAGGTCTACCTCGTCCATTGAGACTACATCCTTCCTATCTCCCAAAAATGAGTGCATGTATATCAGAGTAAAAAAGCAAGACACCTGGAATAATTTGCAAGTTGGATATCAAAACATATGATCATGTGAATTGGGATTTCCTAATCAATGTTTTAAATGATATGTGATTCAGTAGGAAATGCCTTAATTGGTCTTGATTAATACTGCACTTAAATCGTGCCAACTTATATGATTGTCAATATTCCTTTACCAGCTAGTGTAGAGAAAAGATACTAAGAAGAAACTTTCTCTGGCAAAGCAACAAGGATAGATATTTTCACTCAGTCATATGGAGCTCTATTACTATAGGGCCGGAAAAAAGGATTGGCGATCAAGAATCTGAGGCAGCATAATAACAGCCTTCTGATGAAATGGCTATTGAGATACAATTCAGAAGAACAAGCACTATTCAGAAAAATTCTCAGAATTAATAATGTCAAGAAAGCTTCGGTGTTCAAATCTATCATCTTTTTTCATATGGGGTGGGAATATGGAAGAATACCGAAGATCTATGGTCCTCTTTTATATCACATATTCATATTAAAGTAGATAACGGTAGGAGGGTGTCCTTTTGGACTGACAATTGATTAGGCATGGTCCCTTGAAAGAACAATTCCCTGACATACTCAATAATGTACAATAAATCAGAGAGTACAAAAGACATGGCTGGAACTTCAACTTTTGAAGAATATTGAATGACTAGGAAATAGGCAGGAGTGCAGAATTTTGAAAGTACAAGAGCATTATTAAGTTATCTATGAAGAAAAGCAAAGCTCACTTTATAGTTCTGTTCTGCTATGCCCCTCTTACCTATAATCAAACAAGCAGTCTCGTTACCTGGAAACAGAGATAAAAGGTGGATATACCGTCAAAAATTGCATGTTTCTCTTGACTACTAGCCAAAGAATCATCCTTGACACATGATAATTGTAGAAAGGGGTTTCCAGATGTTCCTTATGTGGAGGAATACTAGACACAGTAAATCATCTCCTAGGAGCACCAATGAACTGTTCAAACGATTGAAATTGGGAGGGGGCGGAGATGTAAGCAGAGGAGAATAAACAAATGGTGGAATCTCAATCCTGCAAGTTTATGGTTTACTGTATACATGTTTTACATTTTTATGTAAAAAGGAAATTGTAAATGAAGTTGAATCATCGAAAGATCTCATAGAGTCTTACAAGGATAGAATGCGACCAACTTTTTACTACATAATACCAGTACATATTGCACAACCTTTGGGCTACAGCAATAAAATACTTAGCATTTTAACCCCCAAAAAAAAATTAAAAATAGAGACACTGTGCAGGGTTTGTGGCACAGAGGGCCTAGCATGCTACACTACCATGACTGACCTAGACTACAAAGATGAAAAATGCCAAGTAGTCTTTAATTAGGAATAAAAGTGGATATCATATAGATGAAGGGTCAGTTACGCCAGAACACTTAAACATATACGCTGATTCCGTGAAGTACTTCAGATGGTACTTTAGGTTCTTACTGGTTCACCCATGAACCACCCCATTCTCCCAGGAAAAGCACATTACTAAAGAGTCAACCAATGCCGAATTCCATATACATGACCAACTAAAATTGGTTTTCTGAAGCAACACTTTCATAGAATTCATCCTAAATTTACTTGTATCTGTTTCTCAGATAACACTGTTTTTCTTGAGAACAAGCAAAGGTCTATTAACTCCTTTCCAAATTGTTAACACTAAGTACATGTCACATGTAGAGCATCATGCCTACACTAGACCAAGTGTGAAAAAAAGTGTTTTTCAAATTATAATGAAGATTTTCGACCCACAAACTTGAGCCAAGATTAGGTAGACGAGCTATACTGTCCCACAAACACTGTCCTGATTGAGATAAACATTCAAAAGATCAATGTCATACACATCAAGTCTTATTTGAAAATCATTAAACAAGAAGCATCAGTTGATTTGAAGACTACCCTCAATCTCTAGTTTTCATCTCAATAATGTATCATCAACAATGAAGTAACATGCTTGAATAGAGCACCAAAATGAAAGAAGTACATTATCAAGAGTCGAATAAAAACCTCTTAAGCAAACATTGCTTTGCGACCACTGTAGAAACTTCTCTTTATCTTGCATCTTTGATGTATAAATCATACAACTTTGATGTATATATTACACTGTATATATATGGTAATTTTCTGTATTTATGTGTATATATATATTTTTGAACCCCCTCAATGACAAGGAGAAAGAGATAGCCCAGTGGCAAGTTCCCTGAAAATTAAGCCTTACGTCGAGGGTTCGAATCCGTTTCAGTTCCGTTTTTGACGTTTTTTTTAGTTTTTTATTTTATAAAACATCTAAAAGTGTGGTTTTAAACCCAAAAAAAATTCAAGGGTCCTCCACTAAACTAAATACTACTACTTTCTTGAGATTTTGTTTTGTTGGCTTATATATACACGTTTATACTTTTATTTTTCGAACCCCCTGAACGAAAATCCTGGATCCGCCACTGGAAATACATATTTCTTTTGATTTCAGTTCCGTTTTTGACATTTTTTTTAGTTTTTTATTTTATAAAACATGCTAAAAGTGTGGTTTTAAACCCAAAAAATTCAAGGGTCCTCCACTAAACTAAATACTACTACTTTCTTGAGATTTTGTTTTGTTGGCTTATATATACACGTTTATACTTTTATTTTTCGAACCCCCTGAACGAAAATCCAGGGTCCGCCACTGGAAATACATATTTCTTTTGAAACATTGCTTCAGAAGATGACACGACAGTGTAAAGACTTAGCTTGCGTTTTATCAACTGGTTTTCTTTAAGAAATTTAAATATTTCATTCCTTGGCATTATCCTCTTCTCCAAACTGTGCTTTAAAAGCGGTGCATGAGAAGCCAGATAACTAGGTTCATACCCCAATTCGTTCATGAAAAACTCCAATGTAATCCTTATCTTAGCCTCTGATGAAGTCAAAACAGGAAGGAAGCTTTCTCACCATTGTGCAGATATCAGAATGAGACCATCCAAAACTCCGGTAAATATCTATTTTTCTTTCTAATGTAGATTCATGAAGCGGCACAAGTGCTGCAATGCCATGAAGAAACATACGTGATCCTCGAGGAATGTCAAAAATCTCTTCTGCTTGATGAACTACTCTCTGAAGACAGACAGGGTTACGAAGCAGACATCTAGGATAGCGTTGAAAAAAATTAGCAATATCAATTTGTGAAAAGCCAAGATTTTGCAACAGTGCTATATTAGGCGGTAATACTTTAGAGATATTTTGCGAAATCAACCTAGGCTCTTTCTTAAGAACCATAGCTACAGCATCATGAGTACCCAATAACTCCCGCAGATAATCAAGAGTAGGTTTTATAGAAGTATGTAAACCTCTTCTCAAGAAATCGCTTTTTTCAATTAATGTAACAAGGTCAGACCCAGATAAGTTAAGTGGTTGTAAACCCTTAATTTTGGGTTTAAGGGTTGTGTCAATATCACAAAACAACAATTTAGGAGAAGAAGAGACCAGTGTTTTGATCTGTGATTTGTTCAAACCAATTTTGTGAAAGAGATCAAGTAACAAAAGAGGCTCATAGTTTCGGAGTCTCGAACGAGTTACCTTGGCGCTTGTGGAAATGGCTTCTTTTGTTGAGAACCCAAGTGAATTCACCATGAAGTGCACCACCAATTCATCGGCTTTAGAACAAAAGAGGTGAAATCTGATACCATTAACCATGGAAGAGAGATGCTTTTTAGCGCCATTTCTACCAATTCCAAACATCCCTTCCTTTGCAGTGGGACTCTCACTGCTAGATTCAATTTTTTTAGATTTTAATCAGAAGCTTATTTTGAGAGTTATATTGCCTTTTGAACTATGAGAAACAACTCAATTTTATCGTCCATTTACTTTTGGGGTTAAACATATCTATCTCTGTCTTTTGTTTTTTGCTGCATTTAATTCAATCATTTTCTTTTGGAGGGTTTAATAGAATTTATTTTATTTATTATAAAGAAAGCTCAGAATAATATAATATAATATAATATAATATAATAAGAAGAAGACAAGAAGTATAATATGGAATAGAGAGATTTTTTTAAAGTGTGTCTTGCAAATGGTGAGTGATATCTCTATTTATAGTGTTGAGATATCACTCCCAAAAGTTATCTAACTAGTAGATACATAGTTATCTTAGAAGTTCTTATCACATTGGAAGCACCTATACATGAATCCAATTTGTTTGGATAAATCTAATGGATAATCCACATATATAATACAATGGATTTATAACACTCCCTTTTGGATGTCCATAGATAATGTGTCTCGTTAAAATCTTACTAGGAAAAACCTAGTGGGAAAAAGCCTAGTGAAGGAAAAAGAGTACACATATCTTATACTACACTTTGAATGTTGCCTTGTTAAAAACCTTACCAGGAAAACTCAAGTTGGGACAAAATCATAGTTGAGGAAAAGAGTACAACGCGTATTTCACTCCTCCTGATGAAATCTTTACTTGATATCTCGGAGACGACACATTTCAAATCTTGTATCTCAACTTTCTCAAACGTTGATGTTGGCAATGCCTTAGTGAATAAATCAACAAGATTATCACTTGAATGGATTTGTTGAACTTCTATCTAACCATTTTGTTGAAGATCATGTGTGAAAAACAACTTTGATGAAATATGCTTTGTCCGGTCTCCTTTGATGTATCCTCCTTTCAATTGAGCTATACATGCAGCATTATCTTTGTACATTGTGGTTGGTATATTCTTTTCCAAAGAAAAGTCACACATATCCTGAATATGGTGGGTCATTGATCTCAACCAGACGCACTCTCGACTTGCTTTATGGATGGCTATTATTTCTGCATGATTTGAAGAAGTTGCTACCAACGTTTGCTTCATTGATCGCCAAGATATTACTGTTTCTCCACATGTAAACAAATAGCCTGTTTGAGACCGAGCTTTATGCGGATCAAATAAATATCCAGCATCTGCGTAACTAATCAGTTCTAACTTGGATTAATCAGAATAGAATAAATCCATGTCCATGGTCCCTCGAAGATATCTAAGTATGTGTTTAACACCATTCCAATGTCTTTTTGTTGGGGAGGAACTGAATTTTGCCAGTAAACTCACTGCAAAATAGATATCTAGCCAAGTATTGTTAGCAAGGTACATTAGTGCCCCGACTGCACTAAGATATGGGTTTCATCACCAAGAAGCTCTTCATCCTTCTCTTGACGTCGAAATGGATTTGTATTGATGTCAAGCGATCTTACCACCATTGGGGTACTTAATCAATGTGATTTATCCATGTAAAAACGCTTTAATATCTTTTCTGTGTATGTTGATTGATGGACAAGTATTTCATTTGGAAAATTCTCAATCTGTAGGCCAAGACAAAATTTTGTCTTGTAGAGATCTTTCATTTCAAATTCCCTTTTCAGACACTCCACGGCTTCTAACAGCTCTTTACGAGTTCCAATGATGTTCAAATCATCAATATACACAATTATTATAACAAATTCAGATTCCGACCATTTAATGAAAATGCAGGGACAAATCAGGTCATTTTTGTACCCTTTCTTTAGCAAATATTCACTCAGACGATTATACCACATCCTCCCTAACTGTTTCAATCCATATAAAGATTTATGAAGCATTATTGAACAAGTTTCTCTTGAATCTTTGAATGCTTCAGGAATTTTCATAAAAATGTTATGGTCCAATGAGCCATATAGATATGATGTGACAATGTCCATTAGGCGCAGTTCAAGTTTTTCATGAACTGCCAGATTTATGAGATATCTGAAGGTGATTGCATCTACCACAGTAGAATATGTCTCCATGTAATCAATGTCAGGTCTTTGAGAAAAAACTTGAGCAACAAGTCGAGCTTCATATCTCACGACTTCACCTTCTTCATTTCTTTTTCGCACAAAAACCCATTTGTACCCCACTGGCTTGATACCTTTCGATGTTCGGATTATTGGCCCGAAAACTTCACGTTTTTCTAGTGAAGTCAATTCTGCTTGAATTGCGTCCTTTCATTTTGGCCAATCATTTATGTCTACATTCGTCAACAGATTTCGACTCAAAATCTTCATCTTGTTGCATTATTTCAACAGCAACATTATAGGCAAATATGTTATCAATCACAACATTATTTCGGTTCCACCTCTTTCTCATCGAGACATAATTCATTGAAATTTCTTTATTCTCATTATTTTCAGAAATTTGAACCTCCTCGGAAGTTTCATCATGTGTTATGACTCGGGTCTCTTCTTGAGAAATTTCTTTCACCTCATGATCATCTTGATCATTTATTACTTTTCTCTTTCGAGGATTTTTATCCTTGGAACCAATTGGTCTACCACGCTTCAAATATGGTCTAGACTCATTTGCCTTAATAATTTGTCTCGTCGGGACATCAACTCGAGCTGGAGCATTAGCAGTTGGAATATGCAATCTAGTAATCATTGGAAGATTAGTAAAAGCATCTGGCAGTTGGTTCTCCCTTTTATTATGACCACCACCTCGACGATTGTTGTATCGTCTTTTATCTTTGTCACGTCCCCACGCATTATTATAGCCCCGATGATTATCTCTTTTTACTTCAAATTAAATCACGTGCTTCTACCACATTTGCTTCCGGTAAAAGAGCAGCTTCAGTGGGACGAGCTTTATGATTTTTCATCAAAAGGGCATTATGTTTCTCAGCCACCAAAAGGCATGAGATCAATTCAGAATATTTCTGAAAACCCTTTTCACGATATTGCTGCTGCAATATCACATTTAAGGCATGGAAAGTAGTAAGTATCTTTTCCAACATGTCCTCATCTTTTATAGTCTCACCACATAATTTCAATTGGGAGGTTATCCTGAATACATCAGAGTTGTATTCAATTACGGTCTTAAAATCTTGAAATCGTAAGTGCATCCACTCATAACGAGCTCTTGGCAATATTGTTATTTTTAGGTGGTCATACATGCGCTTCAAATCAGTCCACAATTCAAGTGGATCTTTACCATCAGATATTCAATCTGCAGGCCCTCATCAAGATGATGACGAAGGAAAATCATAGCCTTCGCCTTATCTTGGCTCGATGCTTCATTTCCCTGAGTAATGGTTGCATCAAGACATTTAGCAGCTAAGTGAATCTCAGCATCGAGTACCCATGAAAGGTAATTTTTTCCAGAAATATCTAGTGCCACAAACTCAAATTTGGATAAGTTCGACATAATGAGATTATGAGAGAATATGTGAATTAAATAAGTATATTTATATAATACCTTTGCAAGTAGCAACTTCGTGATGATAACGTATTATAAAGAAAGCTCAGAATAATATAATATAATAAGAAAAAAAAGACAAGAAGTATAAGATGGAAGAGAGAATTTTTCTTATTCAAGTGTGTCTTCCAAATGGTGAGTGATATCTCTATTTATAGTGTTGAGATATCACTCCCAAAAGTTATCTAACTAGTAGATACATAGTTATCTTAGAAGTTCTTATCACATTGGAAGCACCTATACATGAATCCAATTTGTTTGGATAAATCTAATGGATAATCCACATATATAATACAATGGATTTATAACAAAATTATATTTTTTTATGCTAATGTTAGAATTTTTCTTAAAATTATTGTTTCAACTAATTTTTTTCAAGTTTAAATTACCCTAAGATTAGGAAAAGAAAGAATTATTGGTTAAGATACATTTCTAAATCATCACAAATTAAGTTTAAGTTTAAGATTATCCCAAATTTTGTGAAACGGTTTTTTAGTGTGTAAATGAAGTAAGATTATTTGTAAGTTACTAAATAATGAGTCCCTAAGTTAAGTTGCATATGGAAGAAGATGATATTTTAATTTATGTAATATATTTTGACTTAACAAAGACTTTGAGGGATAGTTTGGTAGTGTGTATTAGGAGAAATATTTCATGTATTATGTATGGTATTATTTAGTACTATGTCTGATAGGAATTTCAGGCCTATGTATAACTAATACATGTATTAGTTATACACCATATTTGGTATTATATGATGTATAACTAATACTTTTCATTTGGTGGTGTTAATAATACATAGGATTTAATATCATGAATTAATATATGTAAAGACAAAAATACCCCTCAAATATATGTAAAGACACTCTTGACTACAACTCTTATCCTATCATTACCGATGGAAGGTAAGAATTTCATTGTATTTTGTGATCTTCACATTCAGGTTTTGGTGCTTCATATGAATAACTAAATCTTGCGTAACTAACAAAATGTAACTAAATCTTGTATAACTAATATCTAAATAAGTAATACCTACATTATTAATATATGCATAGCTCTATCTAACTACCAAACGATCCCCCCGTAGTTCTTACGTTTTGGGATTGCATCCCCGTATTCCAGACGATGTAGAGTTTTGATACACGACTTTCAGGTTCAAGGGGTTTTTTTTTTCAAATGTTTTGACAAAGTATGCACAAACTTGTTTTACTTAACTAAAAGTGTTGTTTTAAGTTGATTAATTACTTGTGTATTGGTAGATAGTTGGTTTTCCCATCAGGGGTGTAGCGTGGGTGTCTCTCACAGCAAGTTGGGTCATGACTACGGATAGCCATCTTCAATACGAATAAAAAAGACGCTTATTCATTGCTAATAACACTGCTAAAAAAATGCTATAACTCGATAAACTTCGTTGGGTTATCATTGATTATTTTTTTTAAGAAAGAGAAAGAATACACTTTTATCGATTATTTTTCAAGCAAAAAATCATAGAAACTCTCTAAAAGAAATTGTTATTTAAAAATAAAAATCAATGTTCTTCCATTAATTTTATTTTATTTTTTTACGAAAATTAACAAACGAACATCTATTTTTAAAATGCAAAATTATAGTTGAAAAGCATATATAAAAATAATAAAAAATATATAAAATTAATATTTTGTGATTAAATGATACATAAAAATAGGGTTGAAGGGTTATGTTAGATTTCGAGGGTCAAAATTCGCGGATCATGGGTCGCCCATGTGTATCGATCCGACTCGAATTCAACAGTTTCATTTATTCTCAAAAAAGAAGATAAGAAAAAATATTTTTTTCTTGATTAAAAAAATATGGAGAGAACGGTTAACTTTTAACTAATTAATCAAAGCACACCCTTTAAAAAGGGAGACTTCTTCCTCAGAAAAAGAATGTGACGAAAAACGAAATAGAAAAAAATAGAAAAGGAACTATCTTTCTTCACTTAACGATAACACCAAAAAGCATCTAGTTTGTGACAAACTTAGTCTTTGTTTCCTAGTGATTCAAAGAAGATACTTGGAGCAATACTTGTTGATTCGTGATTTTAATTCACTGCAACAACAAGGTACACAAATATTTTACCGTATCTACATGAAAATTACATTGGTATCAGAGCTTAGTTAATTACTGCATATTTGTGTAATAGTTTCTTGAGATTATACACCAATTTATATTTTTTTCTTGCGTTATCATTTTTTATTATATACAAAAAAATCAGTGTGAAAACTCTGGATATTTACTATTATAAATTTGTTCTAAGAAAAATTCAAAACTAATGAAAGAATTAATACGCACCTAGAAGAAATATAAGATAATTCAGGTATAGATCTGAAAAATCTCTTTTGATTACTCCACAAATTTCTATTTAGAATAGTGAAAAAGAGAAGAAATTTACAGATTTGTGTATTTCTTTTTTCTTCCTTTCGGCTCATTCATAGATAAATTTTTTGGGGAAGAGTGTTATTTCTGAAAAATTGAATCAGTGAGTTTATTTTTTAGCTTATTCAGTTCATTTCTTTGCTCCATACTAGTATTCCTTATAGAAAAGATGAGTAATTTTAAGTGTTATTATGTGTAGAAAAAAGGATCTTTAAATTTTTATGAGAATTCGTGAAAGGCTAGTACTGCTAGTAACTTATTTTTAATTAAAAACAAGACTTATTTCTATGACTTTATGAATACAGTAGATTAAAAGAAAAAAAATAGAAACATGTCGTAGGCCATGCATATAACTTTATATCTCTTTCTTTTATTTATTAAAAAAGAATATGTCCCAACATTTTCTTAAAATTAGTTACAACTATTTTTAATAACAATAAATATTTTGGCACGAGTGATTTGGCACGAATTGACACGACCTTACTTTTTGGGGGTATTATCGTAATTAGAGGGAGGCTGGCATATAGGTTGTTGTGATAAAAAAAATCACCTAAAATGTCCTTTAAAGTTAAACCACTAAAAGTAATTTCTAAGCTATTACTCTATTTTCCAAAACACTACTCAAGAACTACAATTTCAAAAAATAACTTTTCCCAAGAAATAACGTGTCAAATCCAAACAGTTGCCCAAGAGTTGGTGTGTGAGGAATTACTTTTTGAATAAAATAATATGTGGGTCCTACCTTTCTCAACTTCATTTATTTCTTTATCCTCTCCTTTTCTCCTCACCCTTCTTTTTTAAATTTTTTCCCTTTCACTTTTTATTTTAATTCTTCTTTCGATTAATTTTTCAAATCAATTTTTTTAGTCATGAAATTTATTTATCTAATTAGTTTTTATTTTACATACATACATTTTAGATACATCCATTTTTTTAAAATCATATCAGAAATATAAGAAAGAAAAATGGGTGAGGAAATTACAAGATGTAAAAATTAAATATTTACCTACGAGATGGAAATTTAAATAGTCAATCAATTAAATTATTAAAATTTCTTATTTGATATGTGTAGGTTATAATCTATTTTTTATGTAATTATATCTAATATAGTTATGTCGTCCTTATGTTCCTCCAAAACGTGAGGTCTACTTGCCCAATGATTTTATGCTCCTCTTTGCATTTTCTTGAATATGTAGTCATTTATGTGTGAATGTTTTGAATTTCATAACTTGGGTGAAGTACTACACTAAGTTGTTGTGCTTATGCCTTAATATTTTTAATTTTTTTATATAGAAAATATGTAGTTAAAAATAAATAGTGTTTTAGGTGATCATTCAGTTGTGGGATAGAAATAATAATTTCAAGAAAAAATTTGAGATTAATTTTTATCTCAAATTTAATTTAAAATATTAGCTAATTGTGATAGTGTATTCTACCATTTATATTAAAATGGTAAAGTTACTATCATATATAAAAGATACAGAAGATGAGGTAAAATAATCTTACAAAATATTCCACCATTTTTTCTAATATAGTAGAAGATACCAAATGCTAACAATAATAATAAAAGAAAAAAAAAAGGAAGGAAATTACTCTCATGAAATCATATTCCACATACATAATTTGCAAAGAAAAAGTTAAAATTAAAGATACAAATTAAAATTATACTTAAAATGCTGTAAAAATTGATAGAACGGACCACTGATATTTAGTATAATTATATCCACATATCATGATATTGATATGTTATTTGAAGTTAGATAATATGTCAATATTAGAAAAGAAAATATTAAAAAATAAAGATTACAACTTGAGAGAAATTTTGTAATTCATTGAAAAGCGAGACTAATCTAATTTTATTCAACCTTAGATGGGAATTAGAGCGAAGCCTGGGGCGGTCTCTGCCTTCTTAACACGCGTCACACCAACTTGAAGTCTGATTTGAAAATCTTTCTCTACCTTCACAAAACTTCTCGCGCCCTTCTCGTAGTTTTGACTTGCTCTTAGCCTACTGTTGACCGGCTTCGCGAGACCATTTCGGTCTACACACATGGCTAAGCGCTATTTGGTGAAGCTTTCTCAATCCAAGTTAACTAATAGAAGAAAAGAGAAGAAGGGAACATCTTACAAGGGACCCACCCCATCTTTACATAAGCAATTTCTTGAAAATAGAAAAGAAAATATAATAATTATTTGGCACTACCAACTTTAAGTTTCTTTGGAATAGGCTATTGCTTTATTATATATGGATAAATATATATAACTTGAGCTAAAAGATTGCAACTTGAGGGAAATTATGTATTCATTGAAGTTATTATAGTTTGTAGAACTTTTCTAAATTTATAAATCTTTTTAAATAATATTTTTCTTCGATTTTCGATTTGAGTCAGTGATTGATTTCGACAAGATAATGTAATGACCCGATCGGTCATTTTTTATTTTTCTATGGAAATTACCATTTTGCCCCTCCTGTGGTTGACCCCGAGTCTCCTATGTTTGAATTTTAAAACATTGGTCCTTGAACTTGGAGTTAAAAGTAGAGAATTTGGTAA